CCACCCTCTGTACCATCACTGTCTCCACCACACCCAGCCATCGCCACCCTCTGTACCATCACTACCAAAGGGAAAGGAGCAGAATGACAGCATAGCACAGGGGACGAACCTGAGCTGACATTCTTGCCACCTGAGCTGGGCCGAAACTGGCACCCATGGCCTCAATGGAAGGATTTGAGGTGTAGGAGAAAGAAGCCCAACTCCACGCCTCTTCAACCTGCTCCTAGGCTGCAGAGACTGAGGCAGGGGCCATAAGGACTCCTGACTTCAAAGATGAAGACACAGGGTCCCATCCGGGTGCCCAGCAGGGTGCGGCCCCCCCGAGCTTCGCACTGCAGAAGCTAAACCCTCCCGCCCACAGCTGTGCACGGCTGTTCCTGGGATCACAACACTCTGCAGCAGCCTTCAGGGTGTAGGGCCAAAGCCAACACAAGGGGGCAGACAGCCTGCCTCTGCCCCTCGCCTGCTCTGGATGGAAATCTCCATCTCCATCGCCGCTGCGCTATCAGCACAGGCTTGCCTAAGAGCAGGCCGCCCTCAGCGTGCTTCAGAGGCCTGGGAAGTATTAGGAGCTGAGGAAGCAGGTGTCTTTCACCTCTGGAGACCAGGACCTGAGTTTCTGGAGGGCCAAGCTCCCAGACCCCAGTGAAAACCTTACCTCTTCTGTTGCCAGGTATGTGGAACGCTGCAGACAATGGAGCTGAACATGAGGGCTGTGACGAAGGAAAAGAGGGCCAGGTAGATGAGGCCCTCAACACCATCATAGCAGAAGCCTGTCAGTGCCTGGACATAGTCCTGAGCAGGAAGAACAGGACACAAGCCCGGAAACGGGGAGAGAATTGGGGACAAGCAGTGAGATCGACTTGCTGGGCCACCCTGGACATCCGTAAGGTGGGACAGAGGACCCACCATCATCCCAAGGACCACCCACCTCTTTCCAGCTGCCCCGCCCCAGCTGCCCGGTGGCCTCACTCACCAGGTGCAAGCTCCGGCAGTCCACCAGGGCGGTAAGGTGCTGGAGATTCACTTCCGTGCCATTGAGCACTTCCTGGACCCGGAGCAAAGGATCCTGGGATGGACAGTCACACACCACTTGATGTCAGCCTACTGACTGGGAAGACCCAAAGGAGCCACAGAGCCCCAGGGTGCTTCTCTCATAACTAGCCACGGAGACCCCCGAGCCCTGTCTCCACATAGCCCCTAGGTCTTCAGAAATGGCAAGCCTGGGCATGCCTTGGAAACACAGGGACCAGGAAACCCACAAATACGTGTCCAGTGTGGTCACTGGTAAAAGACAGATTTAATTTAATCAATTTTGCCAAGAGTCTTGCTATGTACTGCAATCTGGTTTCAAACTCACAATCCTCCTGCCTCAGCATCTTCGGTGCCAGGATCAGAGGTGTGCACCACCAGGCCTGGCTAGATTTCCCTCACTGTCATAGGAGAAACTCATGCACCATGTGTCAATGCTCTTAAGAAATCTTATTTTAGGAGGCAGAAGAAATGGCTCAGGGTTAAGAGCACGGGCTGCTCTTCCAATTCTTTTGGATTTTCAGCACCTACATGGTAGCTCACAACCGTCTGGGACTCTAGTTCCAGGGGATCCCATGCCCTACTCTGGCCTGCACACTTGGTACATGTACATATGCCCATGTCCTCCTCGGGCACACACATGGTACATATACGCAAACACCCATGCACAGAAAACAAAGTTAAAAATAAGTTTTACAAAAGCTGTATTTGAGGCTGGTTGTGGCAGACAAGTCTGTGACCCAGCACTCCAGAGACCCAAGCATGAGTATTACCGCATAGTAAGAGAGGTTTTGTTTGGTTTTGTTTTTTTAAGGCAGGGTCTTATTATGTAGGCCTGGCTACCCTTGAACTCACAAAGATCCCCCGGAACCCGCCTTTAGAGCTGGAACTAAAGGAATGTGCCACCTCACCTGGCTGAGAACCATCACTAAAGGGAGTTGGTGTTAGGAAAACAGAACCTGGTGTGCTGGGCTGAGCTGTGTCCTCAAATTTTGGGTTAAAGGCTCAGCCCAGAGCCCTGGAGAGTCACAGTTCGGAAAGGACCCAGTACTGGGATGGAAGCCAGGGCCTTTCATATGCCTGCCAGGCATTTCACCACCATTCTAGCGAGACCCAGGGTCTCACTGCACCAGGCTGGACCCTCCCTCCCTATAAGCTGAGGTGACCTTGGAGGCCAGACCCTTCCCTGGTGTTCACTGGGAGTCAGGTATGTGCCACCACACCCAGCCAGGCCTTGCTTTTTTGACAGGGTTTGGCCATGTGGGCCAGGTTAGCCCAGAATCAAAGATCTTGCCTCAGCCTCCTGAGCCCTGTGCCACTATGCCTGGATTACTTTCTAGTATAAAGAACACAAACATTTTACGTGGTGTGTATGTGTGTGTGTGTAAGCATGCCATAGCAAACACACGAAGGTCAGGGGACTATACTACAAGTCACTTCCTCCTGCCACCATGTGGGTCTCGGGGATTGAACTCAGGCTGTCAGGCTTCAGGGCACAGGCCACATTCCCAGCCATCCCGCCAGCCTCTCAAATAGTTCACAAATCTGTGAAAATGCCCAGGAAAAGGGGTGGAGGTGAGGGAAGGGAGGGTGAGAAGACTCTATGGGGAAGAAGGGGAGCACTCAGAGCCCGGCCCCCACCAGCCAGGCCGCCCTCGCCCACAGCCCCTCACCTTGGTGGCTGGGTGCTCCCGCGGGACAGTCCTCAGCAGCTCGGCCACGACATCCTGCATTTCTACCAGAGCCTTGTGGCTGCCAGACAGCTTCTGCTCCACAGAGAAGCGTGGAGTCCAGCGGCTGCCAGCTGCCTCTCACCCACCCCATCCCCCCAGCCCTCCCAGCACTGGCAGCCCGCCAGGCCCCAAGGAGGCCAGTCACGCCTGACTCCACCCTGCAGGCTACAGGACACCCCTTCTCCCTGAAGGTGCCCACATAGGGGGCAAAATACATCCCCTGAGGTGGCACTAAAAGGCCAGCGCTCCTTTCAGAGAGCAAAAGCGTCTCGGTGGAGGTATGTCTTTGGGATGCAAAGAAAGGCTTCTCTTAGCCCAGTGGCGGAACAAGCAGTGGTACAGGATCTGGCTAGCTGGAGCTGCCACTCTTTAAACACCACCACTGGGAGCCCTGAGCAGACGGCATGCTACAGGTGTCCCCTAGGGGCCCTCCCACACCTGTTCACATTTGCCAGTCAGCTAGCCCCCGTCCTGTGGGGCTGCTGAGGGAGCCCAAAGAACGAAAGGCATCCCAAGACACATTCACTAGATCACCGCAAGGATGAGGCAACAGGTTGGCGCCCCCAGGCTGGGTTTGCACAGAGCCTAAGGGGCCAGCAGCTTTAGCTACCCGGGCTTGGAGGCTGGGCCCACGGCCTTTCAGCCTCTCTCCACCCTGCGTCCCCACCCTTGGCCACCCAGGACCAGCCTGGCTCTCACCTGCTGGAAGGGGTTGGTGGCACGGGGCGAGCAAGTCAAGTAGTATTGCAAAATCTCTGTGAAAAGAAGGAGGGGGCTGAGGGCAGGTCCTATCTGTGTCTGCACGAAAAGTACACGCATTCACATCGTCCTCAGGTGTGTCTGCCTGTGTCTGGGTGTCTACACGCGCCAATGGGTGAAAATGGTGCGTGTCTGCATCCATGTGCTTACACATACTTGTATGTACATGCACTCACACACAGGTATGTATGCTTTCATGTGTGTGAGCCTGAGCAGGGCCCTCCAGGGAGACCGTGGCTGAGTTGAGACCCTCCTCAGGTTGGGGCCCTTAAGTGTGCAGTACGCTCAGGGGCAGGTCTTCCTGCTCTGAGCAGTGGGTAGATCGGTGTCTCCGCACCAGTCCCCAAGCTCAGCTTTAGGTGTCTGTGTTCCATTGGGTTTGTAGGACCAGGGACAAAGCTCCTCACTTTCTCCCTGCAGTCAGTGTGCCAGGAAGTCCTGCTGGCCCCACCCTGAAGGAACATCCCTGCCCACTTCCACCTGCTCAAGCTGCCACTGTCAGAGGCCTGTGCTTCTACTTCCTCTTTCTTCCCTTGCCTGTCACAGCTGCCAGCAGCCTCGGGAAGCTTTTGGTTATGTCTTACTTTTGTAGTTTTAAGAGTCTTGCCCAGGTTGGCCTGGAACTCAAGATCCTACTGCCATAGGCTCCTGAGACCTGGGATTCTGGGTGTGTGCTGTGTCTGACCTCAGGAAGCGTTTACAAGGCTATGTCACCATGTCTTGGGGCTCTCCCTTGTCCACTATAAGAAAGCCCATACACCCCCATGGGGCTTCCCACCCTCTGTTCCCAGGGAGGTGCCTCACAAACACAGCTGGGGTTTCTGCCTCAGGCATCCGCCAGAGATGCAGCCTCTGTGGAAGCAGCCTGGGGCACCGGCCCCTGGCCCGCACCATGCCTCCCTGAGGTCAAAGGCCAGTGGGGGCCGGACAGGCTCTGTTTTTTCCAGCTCGCTCACTGCAGTGCCGCCCTTGGCCACAGACTCACCCCCACTCAGTACCGAGTGCTCCTCCACCATCTTGGTCACAAAGGTGTCAGGGTCTACACAGAAGTCGCTGGAGCCCTGAGGTGGGGAAAGCAAGAAAGGGCCAGTGACTGAGCTGGGCCTCAGAAGGAAGCCATGCCTGCCTAGAGTTCTCAGGGAGAGTCTGCCCCTGGGGCCTGTTCTTCATCCAGGGATGCAGAGTAGAGTACGGGGAGCATGAAGCTGTGTGACCCAGGGCTGGATGAGAGGTGACAGGAGTCTGGCTTCCTCCTCCCCGCTGAAGCCCATCAGGTGGCAACCCCTGGTCCCCCACCACTCACCACAGACACGGCCAGCTCCAAGCCCAGAGCACCCCAGCTGATGACCAGGGCCAGGACACCCAGCAAGCAGACCCTTGGGATGAAGAAGGCCCGTCAGGCTGGGAACAGGGGGATGTCTCTCTCTCTCTCTCTCTCTCTCTCACACACACACACACACACACACACACACACACACACACACAGAGTGCCAGGCTCCCAGAGCCCTGGCGGGGGGGGGGGACACACACACATCCCTGACACACATTTCATCCTTGTGAGGCATGCAGGTGCCACTGGCAGGGGCTGGAGGGTTCTTGGGGCTCAACAGTGTCAAATCCACACTGTGAGAGGTGGCTGGAACAGTGACATCACCGTGCAGCCGCCCCACTGGTAAGCTGTCACCTTTGTCTTCCAGAGGAGATGGGCCCACCAGTGGGTCAACTGCTCAAGGTAGCTGACATAGCAGGGTGGGCGGGAACCCGTGCAGGCTGCCTGGTGTCCCCACCCCGCCACACACACACACACACACACACACACACACACACACATTTCAAGACCTGGCCAGGTAGCCATGTGACCCCTGTGCAGACTCTTAGGGAGGTGCACGGCTAACAACCATACACAGGCGAGAGTTTACGATGGTCACAGCAATGCTGCACCTCAGGGAGGAAGACCGCTCTTACAGGGATGCTCGTGGCCAGAGCTCTGTGAGGTGCCCCGGTGCGTACTACCTCACACTATCACCCATCCCTCTATCCGTGGGCCCACAGGGCCCGCCTTCCCCTCTGACTCACCCAACCAGGATACCCTTGGAGCTTCGGATGAGGCCCACCAACACCAGCAGGCAGATGATGACGTCAAGCAACAGCAGGCCCAGGTACCCCAGCCACCTGTGGACACACAGGTGTGGTCCAGGCATGAATAAACAGCCGGGACTAATGTCTTTTTTTTTTTTTTTTTTTTTTTTTTGGCAGGGTCTTGCCATTTAGCCCAGGCTGGCCTGGTGCTCCCAGCCCCTTTGCCTCAGCCTCCCCTGTGTTGGAATTACAATTGTATAGCACCAAGCCTGACTTGATGTCAATTCTTTAAAAAGGCAATCCCCTCCTCCCACAGGGATTCCTGCTGTGACTGGCAACTTATAAGGCCCAAGGCACTAGAGCCGAGGCAGTCCCAAGGGGTCGATGTTCTGCCCAGGAAGGTGGGAAAAGGCTTTGCCGCACCTGTACCAGTCATAGAGGTCCACCTGCTCAGCCAGCACTTCCAGCGATACCCCGGGGTTCCTCCAAAAGGGGATGGCAGCGGTGTAGCCCAGCAGTGTCCCCAGCAGGCTCTGCAGCCGCTGTACAGCCCTCAGTGGCTCCTGCCGCCCGGCCAGCTGCCTCTCCAGGCTCTGCAGGTTTGGCTCCACTGTGCGGTTCAGGGCCGCGGCCGTGTCCCACACCTGCGAGGGAAGCAATATGAGCTGGAGCCCAGGCACAGAATATCACCTGCACTACCGTATCGTCCCACGTGCACACAGAAGGTTCTAGAACAGACAGGCCGCTCCCAGCCAGCCACTCACGCGGTCCTGGACCCCTGCCACTGTGCGGTTGGCATGGCGGAGGGAGTAGGTGGCTCGATGAACGCCATCGCTGGTCTCCCCGTTGCCGTAGAAGCCCACTGCGATGCCAGCGCTGGGGGAGGCAGAACCATCGGATGCACAGCTTGCAGCCAAGCCTTCCCACTGGCCCAGTCCTGGCGCCAAAGGCCCCCAGTCCATACCCTCCTCAGCCAATCTTACTGGTCCCGCCCCTTCCCTTATCCCGTCCTCCCAGCCCTGGGTCCCGCCCCTCTTCTGGCCCCGCCCAGACCCTCCACGGTCTCCTTTCTCCCTAACCCCGCCCCCAGCCTTCTGACCCCACCCTTCCCCACTCTGGGACAGCCTACTGCGGCTCACCTGCAGACCAGCGTGGCGATGATGACGCACCAGGCCGTGCAGCAGCAGTCAGCGTCCAGGTGCTCGTCTGTCTTCCTCCGCCGGCAGCACAGCCAGAAGGAATAGAAGAGCAGGAAGAGGAGGTCCAGGGCCAGGCAGGCCAGGGCAGCGGCCCCCAGCAGCAGCAGCGCCTGAGAGCCGGCAAGAAGCACGTTAGCCGCTGTGAGGCCGACACAGGCTCCACGTCAGCCCCTCCTCCAGTGGCTCTGCAGCTCTCAGTGTGCCTGGCCAAGCTCTCTCCCCAGTAAAGAAACCTCAGAAGCCATGGGTCTCCCTGACACATGGCTGTAAGTCCAGAAACTGGGAGGCTGGAGCAGGAGAGCTGCTGTGACCTGGTGTCCAGTGTGAGCTATACAGTGAGTTCAAGGCTATGGAATACGTAACGGAACTCTATTTGAGAAACAAAACAAAACAAAAAAGCTGAGACTGCAGAAATGGCTCAGCGGTAAGAGCACTGGCTGCTCTTCCAAGGGACCAGGTTTCAACACTCATTACACCCTTGCTGCTAACAACTGTCTGAAACAACCCTCAGGAGGGACCTGACGCCCTCTTCTGGCCCCTGAATAGGCCTCTATTCAGCTGGTGGGCTGCCTGCCGCCCAGCCCGCTGCCCCTCCAAGGTCGGAAACATGCGTGTGGTGCTCAGACGTTCACGCAGGCACAACAGCCAAGCACAGAAAAGAGAAATCAATCTTACTTTAAGAACAAACAAGAAAGTAGGGTCTGTGAGGTAGATAGCACAATAGATAACGGTGTCTGCTCCCAGGGGTCCCTCCCTGAGTGACACCAGGACCCGCATGGTGGAGGGAGAGAACATTCCTGACTCCTGAACGACTCCGCCGACCTGTATGTGCAGTGTGGAGTATGTCCTCCCCCATCCCGCCCTGTGTTAGAGAAGCACACAAAAAGGACAGGCCAGTAAACAAGCTCTCTCGGGGGCTCGTGTGAAGGGAAGTGTGGTCTCAGCTCATTTCCTGTGCAGGGTACGGAAGCAGGGTGAGCACCAGCCGGGGCAGCTGAAGGATGCTGGGTAGTTACTTTTGCTGACCTTGTCCAGGCTGTCCCCAGGCTCCCTGACTGAGCCTTTCTTGGCCCCACCCCAACCTCTCCTCGGCCTCCCAAGTCAGGGAGGAATTGGTGATGGTCCTTGGGGAGCAAGGGACCCCTCCATGGGGCCAAATGCTGGAGGATCTGCGGAGGTAGGACAACTCTCTGCCCAGCTCCTTTGGGACCACAGGCCGTTCCATCAACAGCCCCAGCAACCCAGTGGGCCATTTCCCAGGAGACAGTTGCCAGGCAGCAAAAGCATGGCGCTCCCTGCCCTCCCAGAAGCCAGCTGGCTCCCACACCTGGAGGCAGGCCTCCTCACTTTCCATCTGGCCACGAAGGTGCTGCCTGCACGTCCAGTTAACATGGCCAAGAACGAGGGTTCTGTGATCCAAAGCCCAATGCTGAGGGACCACTGGAGGTGGCTTCCTTGGAGGAAGCCCATCCCCCACCAGCTTCGCCTTGTCCCTTTACACTGTACCCTATAGCCACTCAGAAGCCTGGGCACTGCAAGGCCCTGGAGGTTGGCATCTTGCTACATTTGCAGTATATGGTAAAGGCCCACCATCCTTGTGTGGAGGGGAATGGGTGTACACGGTGGTGCTACCAAGAGCCACCCTGTGAGCCCTAGTGCTTACACCAGAAAGGCCTCCAAAGCCCTCCAAAGCCCAGGAGGGCTGACCAGGAGTACACAGACAGGGGGGACCGCCAGCTTGCAGCAGGCAATAGAGACAGAATCCAGGCCCTGCCTGGAGGCCACAGGCAGTCATAGGGGCCTCACACAGCCAGGGCTTACAGTGTGGTACTAGGCCCTACCGTGGCCACCAGTAAAGACCAGCACACCTGAGTTACTATCCCCTGGCTTCCCTCTGGGTCTGTGGCCACCTGCTCACACTTAGGCATGCCGATCCCCTGTAGGTCTCTTCCTCACGTTAGGGGCAAAGGACTGACCACTCTCGCCCTGGGTGCTAGAGGGCCACCTATGGCTCTCCATGCCAGCCAGCCCTGTTTGGGCCCACACATCTAGAATATAGTCTCCTCACTGGAGAGGAGCTGGGGACGGATCTTAGAAATATGGCAGGCCCCAGGCATCGGCTCTGCAGCCAGGGCAGGCCTGCAGGCCCAGGGGCTCCCTGGCTGAGCCACTTCCTCCCATTTGCTGGAAGAAAAAACATGTTTTGTAAGGCGTGCTCATGACAGGATCTGGGCTGGGGGTGGCAGGCCTGTTCACAAATCACACCCCTGTGTTGCAGAGGGCCAATGCTTACACGGTGCCAGGGACTCACAGGGGCGCAGCTGATGACAGCCTTTGCACAGGAAGGTCTCCTGAAGGGATGGGAGTGGCCGGGATAGATAAGCACTGGCCTGTGACAGGGCTCAGCAGCGTTGGTCTCCTGCCATCAAGCCTGAAGACCTGGGTTCAAGCCTCGGGACCCACACAGTGGAAGGAGAACTGACTCCTACAAATTGTCCTCACCTACACCAAGGCATGTGCATGGGTGCACACATATACACACGTACACACTCAAATAATAAAGACGGGCAGGGGTGCTTGGCAATCCGGCAGCAGGGAACAGCCAAGGTCAGCGTCTGAAACAGAGTCACCATGACCGGTGGAATCCCTGGGAAAATACAGAGGCTGATGGGAATAAAGGCTTTGAGTTTCATCTTTGTGGGGAGCCCCTAAAAAAATCCACAGAAGGGTGTGAGGAAGTCCCGTCAACTGAGGGTTGAAGGCGGGGAAAGCACTCCCTGTCCACACAAACACTGAGGTATGTGTTCACGCATCTGCTCACAGTCACACCCACACATACAAATACCAACAGGTGTGGCCTTGGTGAGTCCCAGGGCTCCTGCTCTTACGGTGGCAGTGAATGCCTTGGATCCCAGTACTGGGGAGGCAGAGGTTGGTGGATCTCTGAGTTCGAGGCCAGCCTGGTCTACATAGTAAGACTCTGCCTAAGAAGGGGGTGGGAGATTGATTAGGTGGTGGTGCAAACCTTTAAGCCCAGCCCTCAGGATCTCTGAGTTCAAGGCTAACCTGGTCTACACAGTGAGTTCCAAGATAGCCGGTGCTACTACTCACAGAAACCCTATTTTAAAAAACAAAAACAAAACCCCAAAGAGAAAGAAAGAAAGAAAGAAAGAAAGAAAGAAAGAAAGAAAGAAAGAAAGACCCACAGCCACCCAAAAACTGGTACCGAGGGCTTACAGAAAAGGCATCACGCAAAATCCCAAAGCCAGACAAGACCTACACGTAGTGACAGTCACACCAGGGGCCTGACATTCTCAGCTCCTTACTCTCAAGGCAGCCAAGTGTTCACGCCTGCCCCTCCCCTTCCATTCTGGTCTGGCCAGCTCTAGGAAACTCCTTCTGCCCATGTTTCTACCCTCTGTGCCTCAGGGTTGGCTTGCATATCACCAATAGGATGCTAGAAGGTGATGTCAAGCTCATGGAAGAGACAGGATGATGCTGACATCTCTACCGAAAGCCTGAGAGAGACTATCCTCCAACCTACTCAGGGGACCTGTGCCCAGAGGAAGCGTTCAATCCCAACAGGGATAAACAAAGAGCCTCCCAAATCCCAGGAGACTGGGGGGACCTTCTGGCATGGCCTATTCCTCCCAGATGCGGCCAACTGTAATGAATGCTCACGGTCAGTGCCTGAGGCCAGGGACAGCCAGTAAAAGGTGTACCAGCCCTAAGAACAGAAGTGATAGCCCCCTCCAATTTACACCGAGGGAAAGCATGACAGCCTAGACACCTCCAGGCCCCGTGGGACAGATGACTGAGACAGCGTGACCTCTTCCGGCCATATCTCAGAGGACACACTTCCACAGAGCACTAGGCCAATGTATTCAATGGCAGGGCAGCCATACTGCCCACAGGCCACTGAGGATGATAATGGGAAATGCCACTCAGCATCTAGGCTCTGACCACATGGAATTTTCCGTCTGCGGTAAAAGTAATCTAAAGGCTCACCCATCCCTGTCCTGAGCTACTGGCCATGGTGCGGCTGCGGAAGCCAGGCTCCCAGCAGAGATGGGCAGGGGACAGCACCCTCCCTGGCTCCCAGAGGTCTCCTACTATGACTCGCCCAGCTCCCCAGGATGCACCTCTCACACATGCCAAAGGCCAGGAGCAAACCTCCAGATGGAGCTGTCATAGGGGCTTTACTGCTGTGGTAAAATACGTGACCAGAAGGCAAGTTGGGGAGGAATGGGTTTATTCAGCTTATACTTCTAGATCATGGTCCTTTGTTGGAGGAAGTCAGGACAGGAACCCAGTCAGGGCGGGAAGCTGGAGGCAGGAGCTGATGCAGAGGCCACGGAGGAGTGCTGCTCGCTGGCTTGCTCAGCCTGCTTTCTTACAGAACCCAGGACCACCAGTCCAGGGATGGCCCCACCCCACAACGGCTGGGCCCTTCCCCATCAATCACTAATTAAGAAAATGCCGTACAGCTGGATCTCATGGAGGCATTTTCTCAATTAAGGTTCTCTCCTTCCAGATAACTCCAGTTTGTGTGTCAAGCTGCCACAAGACCAGCCAGCACTGTATCGTTGAGGCTCTCAGCAGTTGCGGAAGCATCTCAACAGTCGTCTAGACGGAGCACTAACAACTACCTTCCTGGATAGAGACGAGCTAGCAGAGTCCTGTCTGTCTGCCTGGAGTAGGGTGGAGCCATCGCAGAACCACACCTGCTTGTCCAGAGTACAGGTAAATCACCGCAGAGCGGACCTGCGATAGCCTGAGGATGTAGGCCTGGAGTGCATTCCTTCCGGGCCACCAGGGGGCTCGAAAGACTCCATCAGCACAGTTCAGTGGCCCCGGGAAACAGGACAGAGTGGCTCACACAGATGGCCACTGTGGGGTCATGGGTTCCTCCATAGGTGCCCTAGGAGAGCCAGGGCTCAAAGATGGCCCCGGGATACAGAGCCCAGAAAGGGCTCGGAGAGCAGGAAGGGACCCAGGGCACAAGGCTGGGGCTTGGACAGGAGGGGTGAGAGAAGGCAGAGCAGTGGGGCCCCTTCCTTGCGCAGCAAGCTTTCAATGACAACCTACATCTGCCAGAGGAAAGAGACAA